CCTCAGCGTCACGCAAGGACGGGGGTGGGCCTCCAAAACAGGCAGTTTCCAAATAGGAGAGTTTTTGCCTTCTACTAAAAATGCCTTGACTGGCACCGGTCAATACACTGTAATAACGATGAACCGTCCTGCAAGAGGTGGAATGGTCTTCGGGTGCAGCTCCCAAGTCACCGGTGCTGCAGAAAGCCTGATGAGGTCTCGGTATGAGGCTTATGGACTCAACCCCCAAGCCGGTTGCGAAGGAAACAGCGAAGTGGCAATGACCCCAGTTACTCCCCGGTCCAACTTGCCCTCTGTGAGGGATGCTAGATTGGGTGCCCACTCCCACCCACTAGTGTCGGCGCCTCAGCACTTTGTACAAGTATGAACTGGTTCCTAATCTGCGGCATTTACAGTGGTTCAGTTGTTAAGCGTGTCCACATCTGGGACTTCTCCCACATTCCTACAGACCTACCACTCCATTTTCCTGCTTCAGGCACCTATGAAGTATGCAAGATGTAATATGCTAATACTCCCCCACCCCCCCCCTCCCCGCCCAGTTTGCTGTGTGTGATTCTGTAAATTAGTTGCTTGCCATACAAGGGACAAGTTTGTCAGGCTGTGCGCTCTCAATCACCACCTACTGACAGAGATGTAAATGGTTTTCCACTCCTGTTTAGATCTGGATCAAAATGGGAGACAGGCAGGACCACCTAAAATGAGATGTCTGGTTGCAGCCTTACAGCCCTGTTGATATCAGATACTTGGTCCTATGCCAGTGTCCTGTGGAAGGACACTCATACACGAGGGTCAGCATACTACAAAGAGGTTTATTTGGTTGATCTGGAAGTGTGTGTGTAAGTATAACAAATCAACAAAGAGAAGAAATTACATCAGACAACCCAAGTAACAGATCCTAGCAATGATCAATAGCAGCAGTTCCCATGCATGAAGGAAGTAAGCACACACCAAGATCAGGGACTCCCTTCCCAGGGATTCTTCAGCTGGCAGAGCTCAGTTTGAGGGGCTCTTAACTCTGTAGAGCCCCTTAGTCTGCTTTGTATGGAGGGATCTATCTCACCTGCTTGAGAGACCTGTCAGAAGCCTAGGTTATGCCAGAAACCAAGACCTGCTCTCTGTAGAGCCACAGTGCTCCCATTACAACTGTGCTGCTCATTCTGCCATTAAGTGGCTAGACAGGTGAGGGGAGGCTGTTTTATAAAGTGCATTCTTCTAAAGAAATAACAATCTTGTTAACATTTGAAGTAATTTAAAATTAATTTCTCCAAGTCTTAAAGTCTTAAAAAGTCTCTCTAACATGGGGCCAGCCTGTTAGAGGAATGGACTTTTTGCTTAGGTTTCCAATTCATTTATAAAAAAGCTCTTATCTCAATTAATCTGCAGATGAGCTGTTCAGAAATAACTGTGCTTTGAGGCTGAAAGGCAAAGATTCTGAGATGAACCCAGACTTTTATACTCTAGGGCTTGGCTAAAATATCCAAAAGTTTACTAAAGAAGGAGGGGAAAAAGTATTCCTAATAAGTGCTGCTCTAATTACTATTCATATGACTATTCTTATTCCCTATGTATTATATATCTTATCTGAAATTAGGCTTGTCTAACTACTAAGTGTGGTTAAGCAATCTTTAGTGAAACCTTTAACCTAGTTTTTCCATTCTGTCTTTCTTGACTTTTCTAAAATGGCTCACACCTTGTGACATCCTCTGGCCTATCATTCCTTTTGCTTTTTCTTCTCTTACCCAAACTTTGGTCAAATTAATGCAAGCAAATCTATGCCATATTACTGTGAAGCAACCTAAGGCCTAGTATAGTCTACAGTTACTACCAGTCTCCAGTCAGTCCTGCAGGTGCAGCAGCTTAGCACCTGGCTATACAGACTGTCCTGACCATTTCAGGGCCATTTGGTGATCATAAGATCCCTCTTTCTACATTGCAGTTGGGGAAACAAGCAGTTGAGTAGCTGCATTGACAAGGATGATGGTTAGGTGGACACAATGTTGAATGTTGCTGGTGACACTAAAAGTCATTCCTGTTCTTTACATCTGTGCCACAGGGGGATCGGCAAGGATGCAAGTTATGAAAAAATCGACATCTCTGCAACATTCTGACAAATGTCCTAAAGATTAAAGAAAGTGTTTTGATCCAGGTAAGAGGTCACCTTCCTCCTCAGTCTAAGGATGGAATTCATCCCAGCATAAATTCCACCTCCGGTCTTATTGGCTCTGGTGAAAATGATTTAGATACCCAAAGCAGAACTTGAATGGACCTTAATGAGGCACATGATGACCATGGATCTGGGTTTTCTGTTCTCCATGGAAAAACATAGTAAAACCTGGATGTTCTCATTTTAAGGAGAAAAACCCAGATTTTCTCCTTTAAAGGAGAAAAATGCAAGAAATGGTGGGTTTCCTCTTGCAGGCTGGCAGAGTCCCAGCCTACAAGGGGCTGCGGGGAGTGGGAGGAGGGCAGTTAGGCAGGGTGTGCCATGTGCATGGGCTCATGTACACATGCACATGGCCACCATAAAGCCTGGAAAGCAGCTTCTGCAGGTAAGCTGGGGGTGGGGGGATTGAGGCCCCCATGGTATGGGTGGGAATTAGGCAGGGCTGAGACTGGGGCTGCTGCCTTACCTGGGTGGTGTGTGGGGCTTGGGGCCCAGGGTTGGAAGGCACAGCCACAGCCCCTGCACTCCCTGGACAGGCTGCCTATGGCCCTGTTCCCCTCCCTGCTTGGGCCCTGGGGGAGGGGCATGGGGTAATTGCCCCCCCAGATTTGTACACAGGGTGGAAGCGGGCTGCTCACTGTGGGCTTGCGGCTCACCACTCTGCTGCCCTCCCCCTGGGGCCTTCGCAGCCCAGCTGGTGGGACCTGGCATGGCAGGGTGGAATGGGGCAGGGAAGCTCGATGCCACTGCTGGGAGCCATGCGCTGCAATGACGAGGTGCCCCATGGTCACCCGGCAGCAGTGGGAGTGGTGGCACAGAGTTGTACCCTCACTGCTGCTGGGTGGGCAGGGGGCACTTCACCAGGGTGGCACAGAGGTCCCAGTGGTGGCACTGAGCTTTCCTGCCCGGCCCTGCTCTTCCTTGCCATGCTGGGTTCTGCCCGCTGGGTCGTGGAGGGCCAGGGGGAGGGCAGGCCCAAGTCTGCAGTGGGCAGCCCATATCTGCCCCCCCCGACAGGCTCCACTCTGGCCGTGCTGCCCTTGTGGGAGGGGGAACTGGGCTCCATGCTCCGTTCCTTCACAGCAGCCACTGCCTCCCACTTGGGCACTGCTGGGGGGCAGGGTGCTGCGGACCTGGGTGTCTGGCTCCTAGGGCCGTCCCGTCCTGTCCTGTGAAACCTGTGGCCACAGGGGGCACCACAGCCAAAGGGCACCCTCTGTCCAGCCACTTGCCAGCCCCCGCCACCGACATTGCATCTGCTGGTTTCACATCCATCCACTTGCCACCCCTCCTGCCGCAGATGCTGCTGCTGCTGCCGGCCCGCTCGCCACCCCCCACCCCCTCATCACCAGTGGCAGCTTCTTCATGTCAGGGGACCCCAGAACTATTTCTTGCAGGGGGCCCCCAAAAATTGAGGGCCAGCCCTGCTGCGCCATAGCCATGGCAGCTGGGGGCCTGTCTGGCAGAGCTGTGGGTGTGGAGAGTGGCAGGGCACCTTTGGTGCCTGCCGCTTTAAGAAGCTTTAACATACGGTGGAGCAGCCAGGATGCAGCTTAACCAGGCAGTCAGGTGACCGCAAGAGGGCTCCTGGGTTGGGGGATGGGGCTGAGCAGCCTCAGTATAAGCTCAGACCCTCAGAGCTGAGCAGGAAGTTGCTGCAGGGAGCCAGAGGGACAATGTTGCCAGGCTGTAGCTGCTTTTCCCAGAACACCTGGTGGTTCAGGGCAGGAGCTATGGGGATGGAGGAGGTTCCTGGTTCTGGGGAGTGACCTAAAATCACACCCTGCTGGGGTTGGATGATGTGGTGGGGCTGCCTGTGGCAGGGTGGTCCCTAGGATATGCCACACCCATACCTCCCTAGTGAAAGGTGAGTATGGGGTGCCATATAGCCTCAGCCCTCATGACCTGGTGGATTACCTTGTAGAAGGGACAGGCAAGGGGTCCAGGCATGGCATCAGGCCTGAGACACAAGAGGCCAGGGCTGGATACAGGCATGGGTGAACCAGGTGGCTGCCTGGGGCCCGGACAGAAAAGGAGCCTGAAAATGGTAATTTTTTTCTGTTGTCCAATTATTATTATCATTATCTCTGGCAAAGTGGGGGGGGGCTGATACTAAAAGTTCACTTGGGGCCGCCAGGAGTCTAGTAATGGTGCTGTAAGGGGCGTAAGGCTGAGAGCCCCAGTGAGGGGGGTGGAGTAGTGGCCCCAGTGGGGGTGCGTGAGAAAGCAGTAGAGCAATCAAGTGAGAAGGTCTCATAGAGTAGGGTCCGTGTTGACAGGCCTGAATGACTGCGCATAGGGCAGCCTTAGTGATTGAGTGAGCTGGGATTGGAGGGGCCCGAGAAGGCGGACCTGTATGGGAGTATGAGGATAAGCAGCTTAGTACCTACCCAAAGTAACCTTGGCTGGCCCATACTGGGGCCAGGACCAGGCTGGTCAAAGGGCCAGAGTGCCCACTGCAAGGGACAACCAGAGTCTAGACGCCAGGAGTCCCAACTGGCTTAGATGTAAGGCCAGATCCAGTGAGGCCAAAGGTCCTAGAGGGGGCCACAGCCATGAGGGAAAAAGGGTTTAGGGAGTTTTGCAACCCAGAATGAAGGTGGAGTAGATCGCTTGAGAAGGAGGGATCCAGGTGGGGTGTGAACGTCAGGCAGGTGTAGAGTGAAGTCCATTGTGGAGCCAAAGCCACATAGTGATGCCATTTGCAAGGCATGGGATACAGTGTAGGGATGGTACGGAGCCGTATATTGGCATCGGGAAGTAAATGGGCAGCCTCCCGCCTTGTAAACATCTATTTTGGTTACATCAAAGACAAGGCAGGTGGGCAGACCAAGGATTAGACCGACTGCGAGATGGCCCCCTGCCACAGGAGTGAGGGGCATCAGCAGGGCCAGGGGGCTGTGGGTGGCAAGTGAGGGGCAATGGCATGGGCAGGGCACTGGCATATCCAGGCTGTTTAGAGCTACAAAGCAGTGGTGGGGAGGGGCAGCCACAGCTAGAACTGCATCCTGGCAAGTGAAGGAGGTAGGGGGAGCTCTGATTTTCCATGATAAACTCAAAATCAAATGCCAAAATTTGTAGGCATCCAGAATATATTTTATTATAATGACTGAGACACTGGTAGGCTTCCAGATTGCTTTAAAATTGTAAATATATCAATCATGTAAAAATTGTAAATATATATGTAAATGTATAATGGCATTTCATTTTAATCATAGAAAACATGGATTTGGAGGCTTTAAAATAAAAGAACTTGTGTTTTGTTTTGTTTTTTTTAAACAAAGCCAGGATCCCCAGTGATGATCCCAGGCCACAAGTGAGTTGCACTTTTGCTGCAGAAGATGAGACAGCCTCAGCTTCTGCCACAGAACAAGTTTGTCCTGTGATGGAAGTGAGGGTGTCTTGCCAACATCCTATGTCCATGAATGCAGAGGAAGGAAGGAAAGCCACAGGTAGGAATCATTTCACCAGTAAACTGTTCCCCAGAGGACTAAAAAAGCAAAGAAATACAAGCTAAAGCTACAGCAACTAAACCAGCACCAAGGAAAACGTTAAAGGAATGGGGCACCAAGGACTGGTTGGTAGAGTCCTCCACATTCCTGGTTTTCAGGGGCTTGGTGATCCGCTTTCTCTGGGTCAGGATGGCTTCTCTGGCTCCAGCCCACTTTCCTGGCCCCCTCAGGCGGTACTGGTATGGTGTGCATGGGCCAAAGAAAACCTCCATGGCTAGCTTAGTATCCATGAGGAAGAGAGACAGCAGGTTGGGTTTGAACCCTGCCAGGCTGGCAATTTCATCCAAGTATGAGATATAATCCACTTGGATGGTGTGGCGCTGGCTTTTCACATACCTGCAGAGAGCGAGAGACAGAGAGAAACATTGAGGCATAGACTGTACTGGCCAGCAAATGACATTCCTGAGAGGCACTGCCATAAAGACCTTGGATCCCTCTGAAATGACAAGGGAAGAGGATGTCCATTTGTACATAGTGCTCTGTCTGCTGGGTGACTCGCACCTGGAAGGTTGGGCTAGATGACCTCTGTTCTTCATTTATCTCTGTGTAGTGGATTTAACTGGCACATATATGGCATGGGGATGTTGTGCTGGTCCTTAGCATGTGGTTGAATTTCACTTTCTGCCCCTTAGATGAGCTGGATGCATTTTCTAACCTCAGCCCTTGTTCTGTCTTCCAGTTCAGATCTTTCTGCAAAGTTTTCTCAAATCCTATGTGCCTAGGTAAAATTTAGGGGCCAACCCTCCTGAAAGTTAAGTTACTTGTAGGAATTCCTCAGCATGCAAGAAAAAAAAGGCATGGGAACTTATACTCTGCTGTCTGTAGAGTTGTTAGTGCTTGGTATTAGAAGACTTTTTATGTTTTTCCAGTAGCTGATAACTACTAGCATCAAACTCAGATTTTTTTGCCAATTTTTTGGCCTTATTCAAGTTCTTTGTTATTTCCTATGTTTTCCATGTGACTGAAGCTACAGGTTGCCCTTAGTCAGAATGACCACCATTTCCCTACTGCTTTCTCATATAGGAATAGGCTTCTCCCACCACACTACACAGAACTATTGTGTGACGTAGAGAATAACATAATAATATATGGAGAGAATTATCTGGCAGATGAATAAACCCACTCATACATATAATTTTTTCTTGTCTGGGGGTAGGGGTGGGGAGATAGTCCTCTTCTCAAAGATAAACTGGGATGATTTGTATACACAGTCCTCCAAGGTAACACCCCCCCCCCCCCCCAACAACCAACCCCC